TCCTGGGGCACACATGCACGGGGGTTTCTATGCGTAGCGAGACGAGGGCATCCACTCTAGTATGCATGCTTTTGGAATAGTTGAGATTAAGAAATAAACTAAGACGGCCGGGAACGCGGCACCTGTGATAATTAAGTCTAACCATGGGAAACAATCTAAGACTGTTAGACTATCGTCACCCGCACGCCATTCGACCCCGGCTTAGTCACGGGAATGAACATGTCGTGATCGTAAGCAACGTCCTCGTCCGTCGTCTCATACAGACGCATCTTGGGTAGAACACGCAGAGCAAGCGCCGTCAAGCACAAGTTGAGCTCACACAAGGCAAGGCTGTTCAAAAACAAGTCAGCAAACACGGTTCCCACCAAGTCGAGAAGATTTCAACTCACTTCATGCCTAAGCAAGATCTGCTGCCCTTGGAAAAGGCAAGCATACCCTTCTCAACATCCTTTCGGCGTTGGTTGTTCTCGTCCAGCCAGCGCTCGGGAATAAACTGGTACGAGTCGGGGAACACAGTCTCGTCATGGTGCGTGATCACAGCAGACATGCCAACAGCGTAGCCAGCAGGAATGACATACTCGACAGGCTTCTTGTTGAACTCGCCGCGGTAGACCAGGTTCTCCTCAGTAGGCACACGAGCAGTACGCGCAGAGACACCGTACGAAAGGCGAAGGCCCTCCTGGAGGACAGCACCCAAATAAGGCAGGTTCTCGAGACTCGTCCAGCCGGGGAGGTGCTTGGGGTCGTCGACGACGGCCTTCAGCTCGTCCTGGAGCTTCTTGAGCAGATGGGGCTTGGTGAGGAGGTGGTACGTGATGACGCCCAGGGCCCAGCTGGTGGTCTCGGTTCCCGCGCCCACAACGGCGGCCGCCTCGTCGGCTAGGCGCTGTGGGTTCTTCTCGAGCAGCTCCAGGTCTGACTCCAGGAGGGACCCGAAGACTGTGGGGCGCTCGTGCCGGATGCCGGCGTCGAGCTCGGCTTTGGTGTGCTTCACCTTGTTGGGAATATCAATCTTGAGCGTGCGGATGAGCAGGGCAATGTCGGCAGGTAAGTAATCCACAAGCCTTTTGAGAGTTAGCATTTTCCATTGCGTCCCGGAATTGTAGATGGGCTCAAGAAGCAAACATACCACTCTCCAAGAACGGCAAAGGACTTGGTCCAGGGAAAGAAACGGAAGACAAAGACAGGTCTCAGGATGGAGGCAGTCGGCTCCCGAAAGTTGGGGTACCAGCCGTCTTGTCTGAGGAAACCGAAGCTCTCACCGAAGCAATATCCGGAGATGGCGTCAGAGGTGAAGCAGCTGTAAGCCATTGTCACGTCGAAAGCCTCCCGCTGAGAAAGCAGCTTGTCGCAAAGCTTCTGGACCAGATCGTGAACGTCGCCTTCGAGGCGCGCAATATTGCCGCGAGAGAAGAACTTGGCCAGGGGGATGCGACGAACGCGATGCGAATCATGGTTCACGGTTCCGAAGCCAGACTCGCCCAAGCTAGACAACAAATGTTTGATAAGCAATACTGCTCCTAGGCGTTCTCATCTACGTATGAAGTACTTACGCAGAACCGTTAATCTGGTGGACAGGCTTGTCGCGCTTGCGACCACTGACGGCGAAGATATCATCTGAAAAGTTGACGTCGTTGCAGTGTACTTCGTGGGGGCTGATGCGGACGATGGGGCCTTTGCGACAAGATTAGATTTCGTCTTGAGTTTCCCGAAGAGTGCAGCTAGACTTACCATACTGCTCGTGCATGCGGCTAATCTCCCTGGTGTAGCGACCGAAAAGAATGACATCGTAGTAAAATTCGGGGATGTATGTGGCTGCAGACAATTTAGGTCCGGGAATGTGGCTCAAAGGATGCAAAGGCGAGATGTTGTAGAGCGCCTTTGCAACCTGGTACAGCAGCCATAGGCCGGCAAGACCGAGCACGGTACGAGCCGAGAGGTACGACGAGGAGACGTCGAGGGGCGACGACGTAGTCTCGATGGTTGACATTGTGTTATTCCTGATTCGCCAGGGAACGGGAACTTGGGAAGGATGAGAAGGAAGCTTTCAATCACGGAATCCAGAGAGCAGAGGAGAAAGGCATTCTTCTTCGTCTCTTCTCTCACATCTCCCAAGACTTGCGCCACGGTAGAATGTGTGGAGAGTCCGGGGTGGGATGAAGATAGTCAAAGGGGCGGTCCACACGTTCTGCATTTGACCTACACCCGAAAAAGCCAGAGCACCGAGGTTTACAACGTTGGAGACATGGGTGGGTGGCATGAGCGATCAACGGGACGCGCAGACAAGAAAACCCCGAAGAACGGCAGATGTCTCTTAGTTGTCGGTGTAGGTTTCTCATACGTGAAGGGTAAGGCGAATTGGGCTCGGAAAACTGATCATGGGCGTTCTAGGCAATCCGAATGGATGGTCTGACATTCGCACGGCAGCAATCCATTGTCTGTTCGCGCTGCAACGACACACGCAATCCCTGAATTAGGGTGCAACGGCTTTTTTCGGTGGCTCAAACTTGAACCAAAGTTGCCTAACTCGGAGATGTCAAACGGCCCGCTAAGGGGGGAGGGGGAGCTGGCTACATGGAGATTTTCTTTTCTGGGCCCGGCCAGTTGGTTGGTTGAAGAATGAGGATCCCTGAAGATTGCGGCCATGGGAAACCCTCCTTTTCTATCCCCTTGTTCAAGTTGTGGGACCCCGGACTTCTTTCGGCCATATGAAAGCCCCTAATTACGTTGCAGCCAGCGTCATTCGGTACACGTGTAGATGGGCGCGGGGAGTCGTATTCAGTGCCCGCTCAGTCTCTGGAAAGGGAATGGAAATCATGAGTGATGGAGCCTGTGGGCAGGCCGGAGTTTCGGACAACGCACCGAGTGAGTTGAGCCGACAATCATGCTCGATCGGCCTGCGGGGCCGGGTATCCACCCCGGGGCACTGCCGTACCCGGCGCCGGCTGCCTGCCAAAATTACGTTGAACACCGTGCTTACCACTCCGGTGGTGCCACAGTTCGGTATTTGAGGCGCTACATGGATTATCTGGCAATTTGGAGCAATCATAATTAGAGGCAACTAAATGGAAGGCTCTATAGTGGTGGAAGTGAGTTCTTTTCCACTTGTGGATGGTTTTCTGTTCAGAAGAGGATCTTCGATTTCTATGCAGGCCACTAAAGATTTCTTACAGTCCAAGAAAGAACATGTAACTACCTCACTGAATGCTCCACTCCTCAAATATTGATAGGGGGCACCCTGCACCGGACTGCTCTTGATAATGATGATGATGATGATGATGATGATGATGATGATGATGATTGAAGTATGCTCGCGACCTTAACAGTACTTGGTGTCACCAGGAGGAGCGCACTTGCAGGCCGGTCCATCAGCTGCTTGCCAAGGAACGCAGCACTATGGAGTCAATGATTAGCATCAATTCATAGCCTTTTTCACGTGTTAATGATGAACGTACCCAGCTACCAGCGCATTCGCCAGCGCCACCGCAGTTGGCCTTCCAGCAGTTGATTTGCCTGGCGAAGATGGCAGAGGCCGCCTCGCCGACCGGATTCGCCAAGGCGAGGGGAGCCGATACGAGGAGGATGAGGTTTGCGAGAGTGATGGGCTGCATGTTGGGCGAAGTGGTGCGTGAGAGTGAGGCTTGGTGGCGAACTGAGGCTAATGTTGGTAATGCAATGACGAGGAGAAAAAGAAGTAGAGTTGTAGAGGACATTTTCGATATTTTATACTTGTAGGGCAGAATGTAAATTCCTCGGTTGACTCAAGATGCCAGTTGAAATACAAGGCTAGCAGATGATCACATTGCTGTGTTGGTCAGGATTCTGGTGATGTGGTTTGGCACCAGCCATTGTTAGAAAGATTTGGAATCAGTTCCTGATGCCATGAGCCCCAGTATTTCGTTTTAACAAGCTTTACAAGCCACCAAGAACTCCGCATTGCAAAGACGGTCATGGCTGGCGGATTATAGGTTGCGAGTGTAGCATTTTGGTGCATTCTGGCCTCTACTGAGGACGTATAGGGTGAGTATTTAGCATCAAAGAATTCCGCCAAGTCCGTCGCTTCGGGTAGGCCCCAACTGACAATATCGTTAACGTATGGGTATCTGCTCATCGATGCCAAGCATACCTGGAAGGGAAGCTGGGCGTGAGGTTCAAGCACAAAGCACTGTGCTACTGGCTGAGGCATGGAGGTGGTGAAATAAAGGTACCAGGCGTTCTCTACCTAATCGGAAGATAGCCGAACTCTTCCTAGATACGAAGATTGACACGCCTTTAGGCTGTATCTATCTGGAATCCCCGGCTTATTGAGCTCAAATTCCGGAATCCATCAAGTCTTCGAAGCATGAGGAGAATGACGGGCTGTAGTGATGCAAAGCTATGACTCGCGAAGTTTATATATCTAAAAAGGCCTCCTGGATTTTACTATCACGGCGGAATCCACTTCCTGAATCGGCTAGTATTACCGCTCAATAAAGCACAGATCTATGTTGTGTGGCGAGTTTAATCTGCCAAGGTAGTCGTATTGAAGCAGGGTGATCTTTGGCATCCCGTTGAGACCAATCGACTACCTCACCGAGAAGGCTTGCTGCTCTCTGAGAATCTCAGTCAATGATGCCGTTGGATTTGGACTTCATAGGCATCAGGCTCGCAAGGCAGACAGAGGATGGCATGTATGCATTCTAGAGACTCAGCAAGCTCGTCCAGTGGTCGCAATCACGGCTCAGAATCATGATAATGACATTGATGCTGGCTATACCGTGGAAAAAATTGCAGCTGCACAGGGCATATAGACCCACGGAAGCATTCTTCACTCGATCCAAGTATCAATGGGAACATCCCTAGGACAGGACTTTCTGGCGGGAACATTGGTTTGAGCTAGACTTGGTAAATAATCTGAAAACTCAATGCCACAGCGAGTATCTAGTCGCCTGGATATCTAAAGACTAATTGAGTACAGCACCTTGCATATGTGCAGTTACGCGGACCCTCGAATCCCATCTTCATTCCATTATCGACATTGGTGTCATGTCTTCGGGAACAGGGCCAGGGATATCCGGCCGATTGCGGAAGATGGCGAAGCACACCTCGGCGATGTCCTTGGCCATAGCCGGACTAGCCGCATCAATCTCCGCTCCGCTGTGTCCCATCCTCACAAGCTTGGCTTTCGCCGATACCATGTTGGCGATGATGAAAGCCTTCCCTACAAAGTCTTGCGTCGCGAGCCTCCTTTCGGCAATGAGGGCGTAGCGGTCGATAATATCTATGATCCGGTCTCGAAGCTCGGCGATTAACGTCCAGGGCTTGTTGTCAGTGATGGACACTTCTAGCTGAAAACAGAGGAACAACACGGCTTGTAGGGCCACTGTACGAAACAGAGATCCGGAGGTCCTCATCATGTTCACCAGTCCACCCACGTCATATGCTTTGGCCAGTTTGTTGGGAGGATCAATGGTCTCGAGGATGGAGATGGCGGTGCTGACGCACAAGGTGTGCGAGAACGCCAACGTGGAGCTTCGTTGAATGCCAAATGGTAAGTGAAGAGCAAGTAATGACCTCTGACAAAGAATGGCTGAGAAACATAGAGCAAAATTTCCCCGGTCAGGAGAGCTGTCTGCTAGCAGCGGATGTGCTGCAGCTTCAAATGTCTCCTGCAACTTTGAAGCCTCGTCGTATTTCGTGGAGCATCTGATGTCATTGAGAAAGTTGGCGATACGCATACGCGTTCTCAGAGTCAAAATCAAGTAGCCCACAGGTGACGAGTCACCTCCGGCGACGCTGCCACCTGATCTTGGAGGTGTTGGTAATGACATATCCCAGTCGTCAGGCCCTATCGTTGTCAAAACCCCCTCATTCATTGAGCTTTGTAAATCTAGCTCCAGGATCGTGTACCAGAGATTTTGTTGAGTCTCTAGCTCGTCCTTTGTAAGGCGGTCTCCTGTGACTGAGGGATCGCGATGCAGGCCTGCCACCATGGCGTTCCGCGTCAGCATACCCGATGAGGACCAAGTAGCGGTAGAATCCAGGCTGTAGACCTGCCTCATGATGTCAATCAAGCAGCATGCTTGGAGAGTGCTGACATCGCAAGGGTTCGAACGAAGGGCGACGCCCTGCCACGCTAGGATGAGATGCCACCACCCCTCAATCTTGGTGTCCGGCAATCGGCCGCTGTTGATGTCTAGAGTACCATTTCCAATGGCTATGACCAGCAAGATTTGTATGCAGTCGGAAATGGGCACGCTCTCAGGCTTTTCCCAAAATCTCAAGACCTGATCTTGGAAAATTGGCTTTTGTAAGAGCGCAAAGACGGAGCCAAAAGTGTCGAAATATCGCTGGACTAGAAACTCCGTTGTGCTCCTTGGTGGAAACTCTTCAAACATGGATAGTTGGGGCCCCTGGGTCTCTCCGAGAAAGAGGGTTCGGCGCTGGTACAACGAAGTCTTGAGCTCATTGAAAGTTGTAAACCGGCCGCCAGGTAAAGAGAACCCGGCTCGGCCCATGAGAGCCATGATATGCTGGAACTATAATAATTGTTAATGGAGAAAAAGCGATGGCGTTGAGCTTTGTCATACCTTTGGGAAAAGCCAGTGGTTGCTACTACGCCCGTACCACGTTCTTCTCGAATTGAGTTTGCTCGGCTTTACGGTCGGCGCCCCGGCGTTCTCGGACATACCCAGCGCGTCTGCGTTCCCATCAAGCAAGCCCTCTTGGGCCCCAGGAGTCGGTGAATCCGCGTCATCGTCTCTTACGCTTCTGTCCCGAGACTCGGAAGCTGAAGCGCTGCGATTCACAGCAGGCAATATGCTTTCGGGTCTTGCATCTACCTGGTCGTCGGAGTGGCCTGGTGTATGCCTGACGTCGGGACCTCGTTCCCCATCCGTGGATGCTTGCTGCCGCTGCTGCTGCTCACGGGGCGATCGCTTCGGTGCGCTGCCGTGGACCGGTCTCACGTACGTGCATTTCAGCGGGGGATTGTTCTTTGAGCACCGGTCGCAGGGCCGCTGCTTATTGCATTTCAGTTTTCGGCGATGACATTCGAGACAGACGAGCATCGGCCGCTCCCTTCGGCGCCGGCGCGTGAGCACCGGCGTATCTTCCATTTGTTGGGCGTCGGACATAGTAGTCGAGTGTTTGCCCCGGGTGAAGTGGGTACAATAACTAGCATACACAGTCGGCAGATGGCTGCAGATGGGAATATGAACGTTTGGCAGTGAAGAGCAAGATTGTTTGTTGTTTGGGATCGCCGGAGATTTGAGGTTGACTGAGTTCAGTCTCTCTCTTCGATCACCGACGGTATTTGAACTGATCCCCACCCGTAAAGCCGAGCACTCGACTTTGGTTTGCCTTACTAACCGGACTTAAAGGTGGGGAAGGTCGACAAAGCGTGTGTTACACGCAGCTATCATCGAACTCTGCAGATATACCCCCAGTACTTTTAGATACGAATCGACTGAAAAGAGAGATACTAGGTCTGTTCTGAATTCTTATAAAGTCTTCAGAATGGTAGCGGAGGTTGTAGCCCGGCTGTTCCCCTTCTTGAACCCATTGATTGACATCTCTATTACACTATGGGGGTACAGGATGACCTCCCCAACGTCGTCGACTGGACTGATGAATACGATTTTGGCAATCCTCGGAACTTCTCCCCAGGTAAGAAGTGGGGAACAACAGTTCACTACGGTCTTGTTACCTTCATTGTCACTTTTGCCAGTTCAATTTTCAGTACTGCAACTGAAGTGACGAGCGAGTCATTCGGGGTGTCAAAAGATGTCATGCATTTAGCAACAGCACTCAATGTTTTGGTAAGTTGAGCTATGCTATGGCAGATTCGATACGACTGACAGTGGATAGGGGTTTGCATTCGGACCCCTGGTTTTTGGACCGCTCTCCGAGTTGTACGGTCGCAAGACTCCCCTGCTACTGGGACTCCTCGTCTTCTGCGTTTTCAACATACCAGTTGCAGTCGCAACAAACGTCGAGACGATATTGATATGCAGGTTCGTTATCGGTTTCGGAGGCGCGGCTCCTTTGGCCATTGTCGGCGGCGCACTCGTTGACCTCTTCCTTCCCATTGAAAGAGGCATCGCGGTCTGCATTTTTGCTGGCGCAACGTTCATGGGCTCCATTTTCGGGCCAATAGTCGGTGGCTTTGTCACCGAATCCTATTTGGGATGGCGATGGACGGCTTGGTTAACATTCATTCCCGGTGCTGTGCTGTGGGCGATTCTCTTGCTGTTCATCCCGGAGACATACGGCCCAGTCATACTCAAAAGAAGAGCTCGGGAGCTCCGTTTCGCAACTGGCAATCGGGCACTCCATGCTGCCGTCGAGGAGCATCGGTTGGAATTGAGCGACATCGCACAGAAGTATCTCATTAGACCTATCGCCATGCTCTGCCGCGAGCCCATCTTGGCCCTCGTGACAGTATATATGTCGCTCATTTACGGTATTTTATACCTCTTCTTCGAGGCTTACCCGTTCTCTTTTTCCGCCAAACGCGGTTGGAGTCTAGGCGTAGGAGCCCTTCCGTTCCTAAGCCTTGGGTTCGGTATTGTTCTTGGAGGAGCGGTCGTGTTACTACACCTCAAACTCCGGTACGCAAAGATATACAAAGCGGATGGGAAGGTGCCGCCAGAAGAACGCCTCATTCCAATGATTTTCGGTGCTGTTTCACTACCAATAGGCATGTTGTGGTTCGCCTGGACAAGCGATCCAGACATTCATTGGGCCCCCCAAGTCCTTGCAGGCGTTCCCACTGGGATAGGAATCATGACCATCTTCATACAAGGGTTGGTGTACATAATCGACACATATGCTCAACTCTCGAATAGCGCCATTGCGGCCAACGTATTTCTGAGAAGCTGGGTTGGTGCTGGTTTTACCATGTTCGCGACCGGCATGTACAGCAAATTGGGTAAGCTTGATCTTCTTTCTACTTGAAAAACCTGAGCCACTTGCTCACTGAAATGGCAGGCGTTGCGTGGGCATCATCGCTACTTGCCTTCATCTGCGTTTCTTTGATACCAGTCCCAGTTTTGTTTCTCAAGTATGGTAGAGTCATCAGGAAGAGAAGTCGGTATGCTCCGTTTACAGACTAAAGCATTCGTAAGCCACTGTTAGAACAATGAGGTTGAGATAAAGGAAATCTATCAACACATATAAGTGATGAAGCTCTGTGCGAACAGTGCCGTGTCCTGCGGAGTTAAGTGCCCCCGGATTCAGTCGAAGCCCTGTATATAAACATACCGGTAGATTCAAAAAGGCTTATAGAGGATGAGCTCATAGGCCGACTCATGACTACTTAAGAGGTGAACGTAGGTTCCTAACTTAAAGTTCTTTTCGTTCCCGCGCGGAGGGGCTCTGCGGCGGGGTTCTCTACTCGGTAAGTTGTCAGCAGCACGTAATACGGCGATTGCGCTTAATCTTAAACACGCCTAGACCCTTGAGTCAACCGATTTGAATACATGATGCTCTTGAATTCTGTCTAGTCGGATGACACTTCCTATCATAAGTAGACGGCTCCTCCCATGCCACTTGGTGATTCATTTACGTTGCGTGAAACTGCCTCACGAAGAAGATGTCTACATGTACAGAACTTTGACCACATGCACTCACTTAGACACAGAATCACTCACTTAGACACAGAATTGGCATCCTTTCAATTATTCAGATTCATGTCAATTGCTTGAACTATAGAGTCACAGATGAAATTGCTACATTGTGATGATCAGTGTCTGGTGACCCCTTGCTTGACCCTTGTCTTGAGTAATGCCACACGCAATCAGAAGATCAAGTCGGGTGTATTTGACATTTTGAGATTGACAGCTTTTCACATAATTAATGCTACGTATCGAGTAAATTTCCATGCTTATGCTGACAGTTCCTAGAGGAGGGATTGCGGTGAGATATGAGACTCGGGCACACAACAAAAGTACGAGTATTCGCAAATTACAGATACATCGACCGCTTAGACCACATCTCCGGTAGCAAGACTTGCGGGTTTTCTTCCTCATTGCGGTCATTCACAGTCTCGCAGGCACCTTTGAGACCGAGTCCGATAGAACAAGGATTGAATCCAGCGGCGGACCCGGTGTATTCTTCGGTCTCGGATAAGAGGACGCGAAGCGTGGAATCCGTGGGGCTTCCGGCCCACTTCCCATAAACGTTAATCATAGCATTGACAACGACACCATAGCAACCAGTCTTCGTCGATTACACAGTAAGGGTTATGAGTATAGGCGTTAAGCACGCAATCATTTCAAGCCAAGTTGCAATCTGAGAGCCAGTATATACACTATGAGAACTCACGGGGGTTTCCACGATCTGGATCAGCCCCAAATCGGCCAACGCTACATTTCCTTAGTCCTGGTGTTGGTTAAGCGGCACCATAGCGCATATCCGTCATTACGGAGCAGCCCGGCCCAACCTTGGCCAAGACCTCTTCGTATATTAGAGTTATCTTGTGGGACCCTATCGCGGGCTTTTCAATACGGTGTAGGGGTTGCAGTCCAAAGGATTTAATGTATTTTGGGTTCCCGCCTGACTCGGGCTTCATTGTAGAAATTATACGATCGGACTTTCATGTGTTCTCCGCAACTCGCAGAAGATTTCTGAGAAAGCCGAACATAGACTTCCAAACCCGGCGTACAAGTCATCATCTAAGCCTGTACATAAAAGACTGAATACTTCCCGTGACGAAGCCTATCTCTTTTGGATCACTCACAACGAACATTACCTCTTTCAACTCAATTGCAAAGCCAAAACCTCTCTCCAAGACTTAACTTAGCCCAACCTACGCAACTCTCAAGATGCAGTTCTCCAGCCTTTTCGTCGCCGCTGTCGCTCTGGTCCTTCCGGCCGCTGTTAGCGTAAGTCGATCTCTCTCTGCTCAAATCCAACTCATGTCCTATTTCATTTACTAATGCTGTACTTCAGGCTGGCTACTGCCAAGGCACTACCTGCATTGACAGCATTCAGAACTTCGAGTGCCCCAAGCAGTGCCCCAAGGACGGCACCTGCGCGCTTAACGTCGCTTGCTTCTAAGGAATGGGTCAATCTTGGAAAGGCAGCATTCCAAAATATTGAGAGCTTATAAAATATCCTCGGCGAGGAAAAGTCACTTTTACACCCATCATGAAATTACAAATATCTATATGTTCTGCTTCAAGTCACGCAATGAAGTGGATGCTTGCTTGGCTGTACCTCAATGTCTAGTCGTACCTTATTCGATGTGCACATAAACGGCGCTGTGTCTTTGCTTACTTACTTGTCTAGTACAAATCGTTATTTTCGGCAAGGTTTAGTCATATTTCCTAGGCTGATTTCTAATCATATGGTTTGAGATGTTGACGGTCTAGCCGCTGCTATTCGTGTCTTGCACAGCGTGGGTTTTCTGATCTCCACTGAAGGGTCAATTCAGCAACATCCCTAACGATGGGTACCGGCCAGGAATGAAGCCCGGAAATAACATCTCAATCTACTTAAAGTCTTCGCTTTCTATGCTGAACGAAGGAATTTGTTCTATACACCGCTCGGCTCCTATATACAGTTGACTACGGACAGAGAGACCAGCAGCTGTTCTTGCGCTTCCTTTTCGTTCCTCCAAAACACGTTTCCGCGGTTTGTATTATGTTTCGTAAAGCAATAGATATCAGTTTCTGTAACTTTTGCGAGACTAAGATAGCGGCAGAGGGTGGCATTATTTCGAAGATTCCTGTCGCCTTCGAATATCTTCTTCGTTCAAAAGGTGAAGCCAGGCTCTAGACTCTCATAGATATCTTCAGGGCTTCGCTCAGCAAGACCCCGTATCGTTATAACTTATCAGTCCTGCACGCAATCTCCAAAAACTCAACCAAGTGATGAAGTAATGAGCAAGTACTATTAGTAATGGAACTGTGGGTAAGTAGGCTTAGATAGTCATTCACAATAGTCGCACACATCCTCAATCTTTTAGGAATCTCCTGCTCACAGATGTCTGACCGAAGTGCTTAACACAATATGGCAGTTGCATCGATATGATCTAACGCTAAATCAAGGGTATCTTGTGGCCAATGGCCAACTCCTATCCTCCCATACCTTTTAGAAGTTATTCTCCTTCTCCATAGCCGTCTTGACAGCCTCTCCTCGTACAGTAACCTCGGTAGTGTAGTCCTTAAACTTGCGAGCCGGGATCTTCTTCATAAACATCTCATCCAACTCCTCGTACGTTCTTCCCGCTGTCTCGGGCAAGTTATACCACAAGTGCACCAACGAAATGACAGCCAAGCCGCCAAAGATGAACGCCAACTTGGCGCCAAGGTTCAGCTGGTCAGGGTTGAACAGGTACGGCAGGACAAAGTTCCACATGGTCGTGAGCGCGTTCTGCAAAGCAAGACCGAGGGCGATGGTCTTGATGCGAAGTCTCGAAGTTGAGACCTCGGCGAGGATCGTGTACGCGGTCGCGCCGATCGTGACGTTGTACCACCAGCAGTACATCATCAAAAGTGCGACAGTGCCCCTGTTGAAGGAGAGTGTTCCGGGAAGGGCTAGACCACCGGTGATGAGGAGGATCACAGTCAAGAATGCGAGCCCGTACACGGTCAAAGGGCGGCGTCCAACCTTGTCAACCAAGTACCATGACATGACGTTTCCAATGAGAGAGCAGATTTGCTGGACGATTTGGAGCTTGAAGCTGTCGGCGGTGCTATAACCAGCCAGCTGCATGTAATACCTGGAAACTGTCAGTCAAAGTACAAAGGTTGGAGGCTGGGGGTAGTGACGGTAGACTAACGTGAAGTAAGAGGCAGCAAAGGTGATTCCCGACAGGGACTGGATACAAAGAGGCGAGATGCTGATAATGGTACGTCTCAAGTTCGACTTGCGGAAACACTCAAGGTAGCTGGCGCCTGCGGTTTCCTTGCTAACCTGTTCCAGTGTCTGGTGAATGACAGCCAGCCTGACACGGCCTTCATCCCCAGAATGTCCTAGCTTGCTCAGACTCTTGAGTGCCTGTTCATCCTTCTCCTTCATAGCCAGGTACCAAGGGCTCTCGGGCATGAAGGGCAAAAAGATGGCGGCGATGGCAGCAAAGCCATACTGGGCACAGAAGACAGCACGGTACGCCCAACGGCTGTTCATAGTACCGGTCTCGTTAACGATGACTGCAACGACCAGGGGTCCGAGTGTGTATGATAGGGCTGAGAGGCAGGTGAAGAGACCGCGGAGGGCGAGGGGAGTGATCTGATGAGGCTCAAATTAGTACCCAATCTGGTCATGTTACGCGCCGGAATCTTGGCTTTGGAGTCTTACCTCTCCGATATATGTGACAGCCACGGTTGATAGTGCACCGATAGCAAAAC